ACTCACTGACACATCTGTACTCATTGACACATCTGTACTCACTGACATTTAACACAGGGTGATCGGATTTAGATCTGGTTTTTCATTGATGCTGATTCTGTTTATGCTTTTATTATTCCTATTTAACACAAGGTCATCAGATCTGATTTAGTATTTCATTGTTTCTGACTGTGTTTTCTGTTTTATATTTTTATTCCATGTGCTGTAAATATATCTTGCTACTTTTTATTTGATGTTGTGATATTTTTGTTAAGCACTTTGGTAACAGTTTCTGTTTTAAATGTGCTCGATAAATAAATCTGACTTGACTTGATTTACGTTTATGTCATAGTGAATTTGATAACTGACAAACTCTTTTTTCATGTTATACTGTGGTATTTAGGAGAAGGAGGAGGAGTTTCGTCAGGTCAGTGAGGAAACCAACAGCAAGGTGTTGTGGTGGGCTGTGGTGCAGACCTCCATCCTGCTGTCTGTGGGCTTCTGGCAGATGAAACGCCTCAAAGACTTCTTCATCGCCAAGAAGCTGCTCTGAACTTCAGCTGTCAGCAGAGATGACCAAAGCATTTTCCTGTAGCACAAAGAAATACCAAATTAAAATCTAACAGCTTTTACATGTGTAGCGTCCATCTTTCCAAGAAACTTAAGACAAATGTCTTCAGAGCCACTACGTCTACTCTACCCCCTCCTTTCCTGCTAATCTGGGACAGATAGTGGCATCCTGCTCTGACACAGGAAGTTTCATTTAACCTTTTCTGTGTGTGTTAAAATTTACAACTGGGACCACCTTGACATGTTGCATGATTCTGGGATACTCCTACTGTACGAAGCCCTCCGATTGGTTAAAAGTTAAGGGGCCCGTCTTCCTGGTGTCAGGTATACTGAACACCAAGGGTGTTGCGAAATGGCAGCTGATGGGAAAAGTTGTCTGGGAGCCAAGCTGAGCAGTGGGAATGGGTGGCCATTTTCCACGCAGCAGAGGGCAGCTGAAAAGAGACACTGAACAACAGCTATGACGGAAGACATGTCCAGCTGAGAAATGGTGGACATCCTGAAAAACCTCAAACACCCAGGACCTAAAGGTATGCTCTGAATGGACCTCAGCCCTGAGAAACTATATCCTTCTTGGGACAGCGGGCCACCGGCTTCCTTCATGCATCCGCTGTGGTAATGAGAGATGAACATCTTCCTTCTGATGAGAGGACCATGAAACAGTGACAACTAAGTTTGTTTAGATCATTTAATTTATGAATATGAAATAAACTTACCTAAATTTTAATGTTAAGAGCTAGACCTTAGTCCAAATTGAATCAAAACCTTTTCAAAGTCCTCAGAGTTATGCGATTTACTTTCTAAAATAATATTATCGATTGTTTATTCATATTCAGTATTTGCCATAATTTCCATGTCATAATTCATACTGAAAAACTACACCAGCTGGAGTCCCAACCACTTATCACACTTATCCTAGAGATGGTCTCAGCTTTGGAGCTGGTACCATCCAGACTTGGGCCTGTGCCACAGGGCTCACTGAGGTCTCACCAGTGCCCACCTGAGAAGTCCTGCGTAGCATCATTCTGCACCACATGGCTACAGACCTCCTGCTCTTCCTTCGATGCTGCATAGTCTTCCCAACATGTGTTTTGTGTCCACACTTGATCAACTTATGCATCTTCAGTCTCTGCAAGTGTCACATGAAGTACAGACCAGAACCAGGGAGCAGTCCAGATGTCCTGCGTGGGTACAGCTTCGACAACCAAGGCTTACTGCGAGCTGTTTCCACTTTCCATGTTGCTTACAGAGGAAGTGCAGAGGAGGAGTCTGCTGACAGCACTGGCAGCTCAGATGATCAGGGGGTACACTAAACAATAACTGTTGAACGGTACGGTGTGATGAATGGATTGATGATTGATTGATTGATTGATCAGATGAAGTCTAAACTGGGCATGTTTTACTTCAACACCTTCATCCATGTGTTTATATCAATGCAGCAAGAAACATAAAATGTATAAATCACCCTTTTGTTCCTTCATATTTTTAATCAGTCTCAATCTGTGTGAATCACTGTAAATACTGTATCCTGATGCTGCTCAATGATCCAGGTAGGAAAATCTAAAAAAGTTAAGTCTGGTCCTCTGGACATTCAAAAAGCAAAACAACAAAACACACAAAATGTAGAAACGTTTCGTGTCTCATCCGAGAGACTTCCTCAGTCTGAGGTGCTGTATTCAGCTCAGTCTCTTAAATAGCACCTTCTCAGAGTGGATCAACCAGTTTGCTGCTGACAACCATGTGTAAATGTGTGAACCATTTATTACTTCATTTTATGCTTATGTTTAATAAAT